GTTCCTAACTTATTGTCCTCTCTCCTCTTAATAGTGCTTTTCTTATATTCTTTAACACTCAGTAACCCATTGCATCCTAGTGGCTTCATTGCCTTGCTTAAGATAAAATTTTAGTAACTGCAATGTTTTGCTTCTATTTTTCAGTCCTTTTCTAGGTTACTCTTACTACTAAAAAGATCAAATTTCTATTTGTCTGAACAATACATTTTGCTAAATTATGAATATTTTGTATAAGAAACATTGTTTTCACCATTAACCTATCATTAGACTTTTTGAGATTAACAACATTTTTTAACAAAGTTAAATGTTAATGCAGGTCCTAAATGTTAACTCTGCATTGACTATTGTTGTAAACAAAACATATGTAGCTGTCTATGAAGAAAAAATGATTGTGACATAATGACAGTATTTTCATAGATTTTTTTTATTGTATTTTTTAATTTTGAAGTAATTTGCACAAAATGGCAAAATCAAAGTGGCTAAGCATTGCGGTGAGGTCACAAACTGAAATATTATTCAAAGAAGGCTAGTCATCCAAAGACAAATTAGCAAGAAGTTGAAGATTTCTAAATATGGAGTGCAATATTTGTTACAAAGGCAGTTAGAAATTGGCACAAACGTTGACAGAAAAGAGCTGAAGTATCAAAATTGACAAATGCTGAAGATTATTGAGAACAAAAGTAATAGAAGGAAAACTGCCTCAGAGTTGACAGCTGAACTTAATTCCTCTTGATAGCAAACAATGTCACTATCAAATATGAAAAATCAATTTAAATCAGTGGGCGCCATCAAGAACCCCCTGTTACAGAAGGTAAATAAGCAGAAAAGACTGATGGGCAAAAAAGCATGTGAACTGGACATTGAAAGAGTGATATATATTGTGGACAGATAAGTTCAAATTTGAACATTTTGGTACTAAGAGGAAAGTGTATGTGAGAAGCAAACCAAAAGAAAGACAGAATAATGAATGTGTGGTTTCAACAGTTAAGCATGGTGGTGGGTCTGTTAGATTTTTGGGGGTGAGAAGACAAAAGATTTGATGCAGGTCAAGGGGATCATGAAAAAAAAAAATTAAATTTTGCAGACATGGTATACCAGGGGTCAGCAACCTGTGCCACACATGGCACAACAAGTAATTTCCAATAGCAAGTAGCCACAAATGACATCACGAAGTTTGAACCAATAACTACTACAATGCAAAGAAGATATTTAGCAGTTTCAATTTTAATATCTACTAAAGTATATATATATTATATATTACTATATAAAATATATTGTAGAACAAATATATTGGCCTTGACTTGTATAAAAATACATATATTGTTGGCACACTGAATGATTTTAGAATCCTAAGTCGGCACATAGTTAGCAAAAGGTTGCTATCTATTTTATGCATAAATGGAAAAAATGCACCTTTCAATAAAACAACCCAAATCACTCATCTAAATTATGTCAAAATTACCAGTCAAAACAAAACAAAAAAAAAAATTTTTTTTTAAATTATGGCTTGGCAGCTTTAATCTCCTGATTGCTCTCTAATTGAATTAGTATGAGATGAATAGGCAAGTTCAAAGGGAATATCCAAAGAGTGAGAGTGAGTGTTTTCTGTACTTGAAAAAGTCTGCCATCTACTTTTGTTTTCAAAAACTGTTGGAAAGAATTTGTAAAGCTGTAATTAAGGCAGGTGGTGGTTTTTGATGATAAAAACAAATATGATGCTGTTGTATATTTTTTTATAAGTGGTTATTTTTTGTCAAGATAAACGCAAATACACTTTATCTTTTACTTTAAAAAAAAAAAAAAAAAAAAGAAAAAAAATACAGAAATATCTCAACTTAATGTGATTTTTTTAAAATGCTGAGTTGCCCCAAACTTTTTGCCTGTATTATATAGATATTTTATTTTTTATCAAAAAGATCTGTGTGTAATACATGTACATTAACACACTGAAATGACAAATAGAATGACTAGATACCATTATTTTACTTAGATTTGTCATTTAATGAAAATATATTCAATAGTTTATTCAATTTCTGATAATTTTTATAAAAAAAAAAAAAAAAAAAAAAACACAAGTGAAATAACTGCAGTCCCATTTCCCAATGGTTTTACAAGGACACATCAAATACCTCTAAGAACTGTGGCATTGTATTATGCATTGTACCATGCTTTGAAAGCTATCATACAAACATTTTTACTATTTTTATACTTTTGTCTCCCTCCAAATCATTGTCTCGAGCCAAGTTTATTTTTATTCAGCTATTTTAAATCATAATAAAAAGAAAGGGGAAGAAAAAAAGATGATCTAATTCCCATCTTCCCAAAATTAAAGTTACAAATGCCACATATAGAAAATAGCAATTTTGCTGCTCCTGTTACATTTAATGGGTAGCAGTTTTCCTCTATGTACTTCAGTACATAGAGGAAGAGAGAGAACATCACTGAGAACGCCAACAGTTATTATTACTAAGCAACACCAACCACTGGCATAAGGCCAATATTTTCTGCTGGCTAGCTCTGTTGCCATAGAACCCTGTTTCCCAATAAAATAAGCAGAGTCTCTTTTCACTTTTCTAATCAATCAATTACCTTTGAAATTCTTTTCAAACTTTCATTTCAAGCACTTGATTTGGATCAGTAATTAGACTAACAATGAAAATTAGTTCCATTAGTAAATGATTACCCAATATAAGAGAGATAATTTCATACCAAAATAAAATACAGTCTAGTACTTGTAAAATCCGAAATACTTACTTATATTCAGGGTTGGATTATGACCTTTTGGGGCCCTGAGGCTAATGAAATTATAAAGGATGAAGCTACCCTCTAACTCTCCTGCATCTGCCTTAAATATTTTTTACTCATGATATATTTTAACATTTACATAGCGTGAAGTATACTTATTGCAAATTCTTAAAATAAACTAGAATAGCTATCTTTTGTTTGTCAATAGAAATATTCTTTAAGAAATACTATTTTAGTATTTATTGCAAACCAAATCAGCACAAATTTTAATACAACTGTAGCAAGAAAAAAAAAAAGAAAACAGATTTTTATAACTAGCATTATAACAATAAAACAGTTAAAATAAATGAGTTTGTTATACTTATATCATTTCAATTTATGAAACTAATTAGAAGTTATAACATCTAAAAACTTAAAGCTTTCTAAAAATTTCTAAGGTTTAAACATTCTGAAATAAAATCAAACATGTTATCTACTTGAAACGCAATAACACAAACTAAATCATTCTTTTCTTTGCTTTCTGTAAAGTGAAATAAATAGGAGTTTGTTATATTGGTATAATTTCAGTTTATGAAACTATTTAGGAAATTAAAATCATTTCTTTATAAAGGTTTGAGGGGCCCTAGACTTCAGCCTATACTAGCCTAAAGGATAATCCAACCTCGGGCCCTAGGCTGCAGTCTATACTAGCCTAAAGGATAATCCGGCCCTTCTTATTTTACTAATTTCATTTTAACTTCAGGTATTTTTCTTTTTCTTTTTTTTTTTAAATCACAACTACACAGACCATCAGTCTGGAGATTTAAAAAAAATAAATTAAGATGCAAGAAATACTAGTCAAAAATTCATAATGGTTAACAACACTTCATCTAATAAAAATTCAAGTTACTATTACTGCTTCTAATACTACTTGTATATGTAAAAAACAATAAATATATTGTCAAATTATTGGAGAAAAATGGAGAAGTTTAAAATCTTAAATAAAAATTTGCCAGCCATAGCTGAATTGGTATAGGAGCTGTTAGTGTTATAGAAAAACAAGCTCCCCATGACAAAAGAAATGCAATTCTCTGGATAAATAAGGAACTCAGAGGAAGGTTAATGCAAGGAATAGAAAAATAATTATTGAAGATCCCCATTTTGTTTCAGTTGATAATATACAGTATAATTACATGATATCATAATTTATGTAAATAAGATTTATAAATAAAAATGTCTTGCAAAAGCAACAAGACACTAACATAAAAAATAAGAAAATGTAACAGCTATGATGCGTGTATATTGTAAAAAATCTATCAAAAGAATCATAACTAGTTTTGAAGTCAGAATTGTTTTTGTTTAAACTGAATTATTGACAATGAGTCTTACTTTCAACAATAGGGTATAACACAGGGAAACACTATAGTAAACCTTTGTACTTAGAAATAAACTACTATGAATTTACTCATATATCTTCTTAAGAAAGATAGTGGTGTAGTTTTCTATTGATTTCTCTATGATTTTGAATTCAGAGACGCTCTTCTAAACTGGCTGCTTAACCAAGGCTAGGGAATTCAACTCTGTTATTTAAGACATTGCTGGGTGGAAAAGTGATGTATTCATGCCTTTTACTTGTACAACACCACAAAACATGAACACAACACACTGGGTGAGAGGTAGAATTTGGCTTGCTGAGTCTACTTTCTGCACTGATAACCATTTACACTGCCCACATGTCCAATATTACATATGAGTTGAATAATAAATTAAACTAGAGAAATGAAGATTATATTTCAAGTGTTAAAGCAGTAACTTTAGACTAAATAACTTGCTTGCAAACAATCAGTATAATATTTATAAAATCCATACTATCCAATCAAGGAACACTTACAAGCCATTAACAGTGAGCACAATTCTCCTTAAGTGTTATAGAAATGTAAATTTAATTAGCATCAAAATATTAATTGAAATAGTTTGGAAGGTGAAGCATTGGCATAATGGTTAAAATCATGAAAAAAGGAATTGATAAAACAAGTTCAAATTCCATTTCAGGTAGATTGCATTCATTTCCCCCCACTAATGATATTGAGAAAGGCATCAATCTAATCCCTATTGCTGATAACAAGTTATATTATTTAAAGAGAAAGATGGGTATCACCAAGTAGACACCTACCCAATAAAACAAAAAAAGACTACCAAAGCCTAATAATTTGCAAGGTCTTAGTATAATTTCATTTTGATCTAAATATTTTTCTTCCTGTACAACCTTCCCAAACTTGAAACTATAGATAGAGATAGATAGATAGATAGATAGATAGAGATAGATAGATAGAGATAGAGATAGATAGATAGATAGAGATAGATAGATAGATAGATAGAGATAGATAGATAGATAGATAGAGATAGATAGATAGATAGAGATAGATAGATAGAGATAGATAGATAGAGATAGATAGATAGAGATAGATAGATGGGGATAGATAGATGGGAGATGGATAGATAGATGGATGAGATGGATAGATGGAGATAGATAGATGAGATGGATGGATGGATAGAGATGGATGGATGGGGATAGATAGATGGGGATAGATAGATGGGAGATAGATAGATAGAGATAGATAGATGAGATAGATAGATAGAGATAGATAGATGAGATAGATAGATAGATAGATAGATAGAGATAGATAGATAGAGATAGATAGATAGATGGATGGATAGATAGATAGATAGAGATAGATGGATGAGATAGATGGATGGGGATGGATGGATGGGGATGGATGGATGGGGATGGATAGATGGGATAGATGGATGGGGATGGATGGATAGGGATGGATGATGGATGGATGGATGATGGATAGATGATAGATGGATGATGGATGGATGGGGATGGATGGAGATGGATGGATGGGGATGGATGGATGGGGATGGATGGATGGGGATGGATGGATGGGGATGGATGATGGGGATGGATAGATGGGATGGATAGATGGATGAGGATGGGGATGGGGATAGATGGGGGATGAGAGATGGATGGGGAGAGATGGATGGGGAGATGGATGGGGAGAGGGGGGATAGATAGGAGAGATGGAGAGGGATGGATGAGGAGGATGGATGGAGGAGATGGAGAGATGGATAGATAGATGGAGAGACAGATGGAGAGAGAGAGAGAGACAGATAGATAGATAGATGGATAGATGGATAGATAGATGGATGGATGATAGATAGATAGATAGATGGATAGATAGATGGAGATAGATAGATAGAGATAGATAGATGAGAGATAGATAGATAGAGAGATAGATAGATAGAGAGACAGATAGATAGAGAGAGACAGAGATAGAGAGAGACAGAGATAGAGAGAGACAGAGATAGAGAGAGACAGAGATAGAGAGAGACAGAGATAGATATGATTAATAAAAATATAAAATGTCACTTAGATGATTGATGTTACCTTCAACATCCTGACTAAATTTTCATAGATGGACCCTCAAGCGCTCCATCCACTCATAAGGAGATATCAGCAACTGACTTTACACACAGATAGTTATTATTTCAAATGTCATTTTTAGTGGATATCTTTGAGTAGATGCACTTTTTATTTTTAAACAGTATTTATTTCATCTACTGTCCTGCACATTTGAGAAAACTTATTTAAAAAAAAGTGTGGGCTCTGGTAGGATTTGAACTGGCATTCCCGTTGGGACCTTGGAATATTTTGGATTAAAAAATAAACTCCATTAAACCTTTAGAAATTACAAATATACAAAGAGCCAGTTATAAACAAAATCTATAATAATTAATATATAAAATTTACACACATTGTGCGTGCATATATATCTCACACACATTTTTTTTTTTTAATCATTTCACTAAAAGCAAGGTTGTAAAGCCACTAAGATGCAAGGGGTTGCTGAGTGTTACAGAATATGAAAAAAAAAAACTATTAAAAAGAGAGAACAATATAAGAACAGGAATTAAGACAGAAGATGTTGATTGACAATGCATTTAAATTTTTGAAGATCAAAGCTGAGAGAGTTCCACAAGCTAGAAGTTCAACAGAAGAAACTGCTAGCATAGAACCTACAATTACATCTAACCATTTCAACTGTAAAATGAGACTTTGCCACCAATCTAGTACTATGTTTAAATTCATAAAGTCTACATACCATAGAGGAATGTTCATCAGAATAATTACTATGAAAGTATTTATAGAAAAGGCACAGGGAAGCCATGTTACAGCAGTGGGGAAAGCGACTGAAACTGAGATGGCAGATCAGGACCAATAACATTGCAGATTTTTTGGATTTTATCAAAATCTCTAAATATACACCAGACCAGATGTGGCAACAATCTTTAAAGCAAGGACAAATGGTAAGCTTATAAATATGAAAGATAGATTCTGTTGAGAAAAATTGTCTAGTGCAAGCAACATAGTGAACCAACTTTCCTAGCAGTAGATATAGCAACTGATTCCATATAATCTTTCCACATTAGATCAGCAGAAAACAGCTTGAGAAGGTGCAACAAGTCCACCTCCTGGAGGTTAGCATCAGCCATAATGATGAAAGGCAAAAAGGGTTCTCTCAGACATTATAAACTTACAAATTTGTTTACAGTACATTTTATATATTAAGACTATCACTATGCAGAGCATAGGCAACATTATATAAAATAAAATATAAACTGACTGAAGTAAATGTATAAAAATAAGTAAAATAAATAAAATCGAAAAAATAACTCAATTACTTTAAATGTGGAGTTTGATCCAATAATCCCACTGCCATTTCTGAAAAGTTGGAATGATGTGTGTCAAAGCTGCTTCAGTTTATAGGGTTGCCATTACCTGTGAAGATACTTCCAGGAATAGACAACTAAAATCATTATTCAACTTCCACAACACAACAATACCATTTTATTTTACCACACAACCATCTGTCACCACCATCACAACTTGGTGCCTATATGGCAACTCAATATTTACTTAACATGACACTTGTGTATATAGCTCAGTTGTAGAACAACAGAATGGTGACTAATAGCCCAGGAATCTGCCTCCAGATGTAAAATTGATGGGACTTGCTCCACAACACATGGAGTAAAACTAACTTAAAATGAGAAAATAAAAGCAGACAAACATGGATAAATGTGCCCCACCCGTGTCAAAAGGAAGGGTTCCTCCCCCACTCTATCACACCACTTTTTTAACTACCTTCACTCTTCAGCAATGCTTATTGTTTTAAAAGGCAAGGCATGGCTATTTAAAAGCCTTGTTTTTATCATATAGGAAAATCCAACATTGTGTGTAAACAAAATATTCGGCAAAAAATCTCATTCGTCAATAACATTTTAAACATGTCATAGAATGTAATGTTCTTAAAGCAAACCTATGCCAAACCGTTTTCCTGAATTCTTGATGGCTTGGCTGTCCGAAAATGACAACATCAAGATGAAATAATAGAAACTGACCGTGAAAAACACAACTAAGTTTTCGATCAATCAGTAAACTTCTGGACATTTTTGGGTGACTTTATAGGACCCAGATGGCTATTGTTTGCACATGGAATTATTCACTGGTAATTAATCTTCAATTTGGCTGTGGAAAATGTCACTTGGTGGTTAGCATTAAGAAATTATACCCAATTTTCTGAGAAAAATCACCGTTTTTTTATGAAAAAATGTGTTTTTTTTTGGCTTCAAAATAATATCATTCAAACTTTATCCCTTTCTCTTTCATTTGGCATGAACATCATTGAATAAAAGGAACAGTTAAATGGCCCGGTGATGGGAAATACAAAAGATATGCAGCAAAAAAAACAATGTTGCCTGCTAAGTGTTGTTGTCATCACCCGGGTCATGGGGTGTTAAAAACACATCATGCCATTGTTCAAACATAGGTTATATCAAGCCCTACTAATGTTGACCCTTTTTTTCACACTTTGCTCTTATCTGGGAGTGGTGGGTTTTATTACAACTTGTTCTAAACATTTATTGCTGGATGGCTGACCTTTGACCCAGAGTAGTCAAAGTCAATTAGGTTTAATTTTCCTTATCGCTGCTATCTTTTGGAGAAAAAAAAAAAAAAAAAAAAAAACAACCTTTGGTTTCTGGTGGTCAGGAATTGCAGATAAATCTTTTGCCTTTTACTAAAGATTTCCATGGCCGGGTGTCAAGTTTTTTAACCCCTGGCAGTCATATAACTGAAAATTACCAATGGACTTTGTTGCATTTCAACCCCCTAGGAATGTTGATTTCCTTCAATGTTGATTATGATTTAGGCTTACTGATTTTAAAAGAAAAAAAAAAAAATGGTTACTTTCCCATTACTGGGGAAAATTTTTGTTTAGAGCTAGAAAAAAAAATGAAAAATTGTCACTATTTTTTCACATTTTAACCACTAAAAAAAAATTTCAGTCATTTATACCAGCCAATTTTACTTTTTTGTTTCATGGGGTTCAGATCAAAAGTTTCCTTGATATTTGTTTAGGTGATGATAAAACAGTCATTTTTCAATATTTTACACCTATAAAAGTATGAAAATCCATTTTTTGAGAGAAAATAAGCTGTGACAAAATGACTTTTGCCATTTTTGTGATGATTCTTACTTGGGACGGAAAATTTTTACAATAGCAAACCTGAACTGACTTTATTTAAGTTCAGTGAGGCTATAGGAAACCTCAAACAACTGTGAAGGATTAGAATTAAAATAAAACCTAAACATATAAAAGTGAATTTATACATTTTCTTTGTTCTTGAGAATTGACTACAAAAATAATAAATACTATTTATTTATTTATTAGAGTGTTTAGTTACACTATTATATTATTTATTGGAATAGTTGGCAAAACATCAGCTAATTATTAAATAATTCAAACTTAATAAAATGGTAAATAATAAGCATTTACTTATAGTTGGTTGACATATTTTAATAATGTACTAAATGTTTATAAATTTATGGATAAAAAATTGTTTCCCTATTAATTTCTTTATAAATTGGTAACTGATAAATATTGTATTGTATAAGTTATAATTGTATTAGTTTTTTTTTGTATTTTTTTTAGAAAGTTGCAAATATAAAATTATTCTTGTAAATAACCAATCTAATAAATAAATAGTATTTAATATTTTTGTTGTAAATTCTCAAAAAAAAAAAAAAAAAAAAAAAAAAATGTATAAGTTCACATTCAAATGTTTAGGTTTTATTCCAATTCTAATCATCGCTTTTTAAAACATTGACAAAGAGTGAAGGTAGTTAGGAAAGCAGTGACATGGGAAACACGTTCTTTTAAGACTACGTCTCGTTGCAGCCATGTTTAGCCATGTTTGCAAAAAAAAAAAAAAAAAAAAAAAGTATTGCTGATCTGCAGAAAATGCTACATTTGTAAAATCCAAAATATCAGTTTGGTGCCAGGTCTTAAGTTTATCTCCTTCTAGTACATGATGTTTATGCATGTATATATGCTATGCATTGATGTATGCATATATGCTAACTCCGTAGACTCCTCACAGTGGAGTACAGGGAAAAAGCCTAATCATGCTAGTTGTTGCTATTATAGTTTCCATACCAAATAGTATTTTTGGAGTTGCTAGCTCCATGCATGACTAGTTTTGAATTCAGCGTTTTCCTTCTTTTGGTTCCCAACCAAAGCTAGAGAACCCAGTCAGCCCTACTATTTAACCCCAAACTGGGAGAAGAAGAGAGAGATTTATACCTTTCCAAAGGTAAATGTGCCAAACCAATCACAATCAACAGCCCCAGCTGAAACTTGACACACCAATCCCACTGTGTTGATAACCATTACAGTACACACATTTTGGTGATAGGATTTATTAAATAAATATGTTAAAACTTATTTATCATAATTATTACATATATGGTGAAAGCACAAATACTAAAAGTATATATACAATGTAAGCAAATACCCCAAATTCCATATGACATTTATTCTGAGAACAGATATATCAAATATGACCTTAATAATCTAAATAAATTTATTTAATAGCTATATAGTTTCTGAGAACTGATGGATTTATTTTTTTTATCCATCTTTATTACTTCAGTGGGGCATTAATTACAAATGTGTGTGTGTGTGTGTGTGTGTGTGTGTGAGAATTAAGATCAAATATGGATTAAAAAACAACAAAATGATAGAATAAGGAACAAACAGATGTTTAAAAATTTAACACATTTTGCTTTTATTTAAGCTTTATCAGAAATTTGGGGTAAACAAAAATTTCTTATTACGCTTAAATAAAAACAAAACTTTAAATTTATATATGTTACCTATTTGTTCCTTATTCTATTGTGTGTGTGAGTGAGAGAAAGAAAGAAATATTAATTCTGGAGATAGGTCAAGATATTATAGACTACAGCAGGTATTTGAGAACATATGTTTAGCAGGCCATCCAAGTGGAAAACAACCAAATATGACATGCACAAAACTTCAACTTCTATTTCCAGTAAAACATTAACATAGTAACTTCCAGACTGACAAAGGAAATATAAAAGGCATGGTTTTTGTGGCACTAGCTCTCAATTGCAGTGACACTGAGATAGACAGGTGAAAATGAGAGACAACAGGTGGCTCTATACAGACCCCATGGAGATGCCTATATGTACACAAAGTTAATGTCACCTATAATAGTCCTAGAGGTCATTAGCAATGAAAGGCAGATTATTTTTTTTGTTTCATTTTTTTTCTCTTCCCAGCTTAAGACTTTGTGTGTTACTATAAGCCAGAACACATTTTGCATTGTAAGAATTTTTTTTTTAATATTGTATTATCTCTTTTTTGAAAATAACAATGATTTTCTTTTTCAGATACAAGTACTACTATTTAACCCATAGCTGGGAGTGAATAGTCATACCTTCCCCAAGTTATTGACTGGAATTTGCTCTCCAATTTCTCATTCGGAGCCACTATACATTACACCAACTGCACATCCAGCCATAAAACAGACTGTTGCTTCTCAATGGATGAAAAAAATAATTATAAATTATTTAACTATCTAAATATCTACCTAATCTAAGTACTACACATTTTTTACTAAAAATAGTTTCCCCCCCAAAATTTGTTAGGAATTTAATTTAAAAAATAAATTCTAATTAAAAAAAAAAAAAAAAAAAAGAAAAGGTTCAAATTTATTATGTTTTTGCAACAGAATTAGACATTCTCTAGAACTAAATTTTATTGTAAGACAGTGTGCAGAGCCATTAATGAAGCCATAATTTTTTTTTTTTTAAATAAAATTTCACACGTACTTTATTTATTTAATATCACTTTTATTACTTTTATAATACAGAGAAATTATATGGAGCAATAAATTTCTGTGAAAGACAAGGTAATTAATTATTTCGCCAGGTGGATTTAATGACTGAAAGTGACATTATTGCTTCAGCATTCAATCTGCCCTGTAAATATCTATCAGCTCTCAACGTTCAACCCACCCCATGTATACTCTGCCATAATATGACATCATCATCACAAATAATGCAGGAAGTCATGCAAACAATGAGACTTTGACCTCAAATATTTATAGGGCAGGTTTGAGCATGTTGAATGCTAAAGGATGAACTGAGTTACAAAGATTGGACTAAATTAAGTGGCATAGAAAATATACAAAAAAAATGTTGACATGAGAAAATGTTTTGAATTAATAGATTTAATTTCATTATTTAAAAATAGTTATATGTCAAACATAAGAGGGCTGCCAAACTTTTGAGCTATCACAATGGTCAGTCAGCTAGGAAAAAAAAAAAAAAAAAAAAAAAGGAGGGAAGATATTCACAGCATTCAGTATGTAAAGTCCTCATAATGAAGATTCATACTTGACAGTTCCAGATCATGTTTAGGGTAATATAGAGAACTCGTTAAGGTCATCATCATTCCCTTAAAGATTTTCGTACAAGAAAGAGGATCTGACCACAAGAGAGAGAAAAAAGGGGATCTGGCCACAAGAGAGAGAAAAAAAGGGATCTGGCCACAAGAGAGAGAAAAAAAGGGATCTGGCCACAAGAGAGAAAAGGTTCATTTTATAGATTTATCAGTTACACTGTCTGATTGCTTCTTAGTAATGAGATATTCCATGCATATAATTGATTTGTTTTGATGACCTATCAACCTTTTGCAGGTTATTCAAAGCCAGAAAATATTTTTTTCAAATTATATAAATTTTTGAAGATAATGATTTATTGATACAAGTCCCACTAATTAACTCATAGTTTGGAGAGGGGGTAGAAGAGGCAGATTCATACTTTTCCCAAGGATATTTGCAATTATAGTTAATTTAGCTGTAGGGCAGACGAAGTGGATCTGTACCCTTTCCAAGCATGTTTGTGCATAAGTGAATATAATGAACTTGACTGGAATTGGAACACAGCTCTCCAATTTCATATTATACCACTTGCACATCCAAGCTTACAGCACCTGATATTCCCAAGCAGTCACCCAGCTAGATACTGACTAGGCTTGAGGTTGCTCAACTTCAGTGATCATACAAGAACCAAACACATTTGCCCAAAGCTTAAAAAATAAATGGTTAAAAAAAGACCAGAGATTATGAAGTTGTGCATATTAAAAATGTAATAATAATGGCTTTGATGATGTTCCTGATGGACTGGCATGATGTAATCAAAAGGAGACATGACTTTCTGAAATAAAATTGCATGGTATTAGATGTTAAACTGAAGTCACTGTGTCATGAATGGAATTCAGACAATATCCTGTTTGTAATTAGTCGGCAGAATTATGAAATAAAATTGCTTTCGCAAGAAAAGCAAGTGATGAGAATTGTGAAGAGTAAAAATAAGATTCCGAGTTTTTTTTTTTTAGATATACACTGATTTTCTTTTCATAAAGAAATCTTCATTATTTTAATGTAATTATGACAGAAAAAAATTTATTTATTTTGATTTTAAGCACAAAATTGACAAACGTTTCATTTAATATACATGTTTCTTATTCTCTCTCTCTTTATATATATCTATGTCTGTCGAGATCATTTCTCATCTGTGCCTGTCGAGATCATTTCTCATCTGTGCCTGTCGAGATCATTTCTCATCTGTGCCTGTCGAGATCATTTCTCATCTGTGCCTGTCGAGATCATTTCTCATCTGTGTCTACAGAGTGATTGAAAAGTAAATCCCTATTTTATATGTCTAACTATAATTTTTACAAGATGAGGAGTCCCTCATACATAAAATAGGAAGTTACTTTTTAATCGCCCTGTAGTTATTTTCTTATTTATCTGCCTATGTAGTTATTTTCTCATCTGTTTATCTAGTTATTTTCTGTCTATTCTTATCTATCTAGCCAATGTATGACCAAGCTCAACATTGCTTAACTTCTGTGATTGTACAAGAACCATTGTTTCAATATGATATAGCCATAAGCCTGCATGCTTATTATAACAGGAATTATTACTCAATATTCATAAGCAAACATTATAACAATGGAATCTCATAAATAGGGGAGATCAAGCTGCTAATTTTTATTTTTTGTAATATCTCTGGAGATTTTTTACTTTCATGGATTTCAAGAGAAGAATTCTTTCCTGTATTCCACAACAATGTTAAACGTATAAATAAAAGTCTGTAGTGAAGAATCAAGTAGCACTATCTTGTTACAAAAAAAAAATGGCAGCAGCATGTATATATATTTTTTTTTTTTTTTTTTACAGAGTGCCATATTGGCAGAAGTTAGATTGCTGGCATGAAAGACATGGCTGATTTACTTGCATATGCAAATCACTTTCTTCTATGTGTTGTGTCCCTTCTGGATCATAGCTCTCCACAATTTCTTATCCTTTGTAGCCCTTAATAAAGTTTTACTTTTTGCTATATCTCCTAATTCTTGTTCTGCCAACCATTTACACAAGTTCTTTACATGGGTTATGAGTTGCTTTCCTCTCTCCTGCTTGCCTTCAATATGTCGTGTGAGTGCCAAATTTTCCAAGCACTCTTTCCTCATTATATGCCCTACAAATTTCAACTGTATCTTTCTGATGCTACATGTGTCCTTTTTGTTTTCATACTGAATAAAAACACTAACATTGAACAAGCAGGCAGAAGGAAATACACTCAAATGAGGGTGTGTCAGCGGTACAAAAGAGACTACAACTTGGAATCTACTAAGCAATATTCTTAGTTTTCTACTAAGTGTCATGTCCCTTCAAGGACATGGGCGATCATGGCTCTCCATAATTTCCTATTCTTGTAGCTCTAAGCCATGTTTACCCTCCAGTCTCTGTTCTGCCATTCATTTATACAAGACCATTAAGTAGGTTTCTAACAGTTTTCCCTCTGCTCCCTCTTGCCATCAGTATGATCTGTGAGTCTCAAATTTTCCCCAAGTCCTCTTTTCTTATTATGTATCCTAGAAATTTCAGCCATTTCCTTCAGTATCCTTTTTGCTCACATTTTCCAAAGAACCTCCTCATTGCTCACATGTTGTGTGATTCTCAGCATTCTTCTGTAGAACCATGTTGACACAAATCTCTTCATTTGTAAGAAAATTGTCTAGTATTCACATCATTATATAGGATTGATGTTACATGACAATTCAGCACTCTTTTCTTTGTTTCTAATGATATTTCCCCATTTCTTAATACAGGCATCCCTCAATGTGCATTTGATTAGTGCACTAAAATGTTTACATACCAAAATTTGATTAGAGCATACATAATACTCAATTAATGTGGTAAAACATTCTTCAGTAATTGAAAATTGATGTTTTTTATAGTTACTCATATACAAATTAGCTGCTCTAATTGAGGGATTCCTGTACTTTGTTTAGCTTTTGTAAGGCATCTTTTGATAGACTAAAATGCCTTTGAATATCTGTATCATCGTTTATTTATCTCCCCATTCAGTTAAATTTCTTTTCTGGCCTGATTCTGAAATCTCAAATTCGTAGCTCACATTTTGAGCTGTCCTTCTTACTAATGATCATAAGCCATGAAATCCTAGATTACTTCTACAGAAAATATAATCAATTGCAAAATTACTTAAATATTAGTGTCATCTTTTGATGGGATGGGTAAACTGGTTACATATAATGACACAAGTTGAACTTTTGATCAAATCTGAACAATAAATATCTCTCAATACTATGCAATTAAGATAAATATATATTTTAAAGATTATATATAAAAGGCATTTTCAACTAAGCAAAAATTGTTTGAATTCTGAAACAAGAGACTTGTTTAAGTTCTGAATCAGTATCTTAAACAAAACTGTTTAAAAACAGGTCAGAATGTACCGCCATGTCAGTTTGTTTTTTTGTTTTTTGTTTTTTCTCTCGTTGCAATGGTTGTCAAGTTAAAAAACAATCTTTAGGCATCTGATGATTGATCTGTTAAAATATCAGGACACAAAAACAAAGCAAACAAAGGTCAATATAGAGTTGGTGCAAAAATTGAGAAATTAAAACTGGAATCACTCGCATTTGCTAGTGACTTACTAACAATGCACAGTTTAACTGTAATTAAATACAATAACTAACTTGCTAGTAAGTCACATATGCATTTGAAAAGTTAACCCTTTCTAGGTGAACTGGCCAGGTCTAGCTGGTCAAACCTGTGCATTTGTTTACAACCAAACCAAATGATATCAATTGGACATAGAGGAGTACATACTAATGAATCAGTCCAAGCAACATAGTGGTTTCTATGTTGTAGCAGAAGTTTAACAAGATTCAAAAGCATTTGAGTCCTTGTGAGTGAAACTATTTTCCACCGTCCAACCTTTTTCTCACAGGCAGGATGTGGTGAGCCTCTCACTGCTCTATCATTATTTCAATGGAAAGTGCTCAGATGAACTATATTCCTTGGTTCTGCTAGGTCTAACCTTTACAGCTAGGACCCACCATACCACTTACATTGTAGCAAATCACCCACCTTCCCACTGTATTTCTGCAGTGAGAAGTAAGTTCCCACTAACAGTTTCATCCCATGAACCACTGCCCTGTGGAACAGACTCCCAAGAGGAGGTTTCCCCAATCACTACACTCTTAACCTGTTCAAGTCGAGAGTTAACAGCTATCTTCCCCTCCTATCCGTATAAGCTACCCCTTAATGTAACCATCTACCTCAAGTGCTTCCAGGACCTTGTACAGAGTGAACTTTACTGTAAAAATTATATATATTAGAAGTATGTATGTATGTATGTATGTATATATAAAACCTTGTTCACTACTAGATATGTAAATATTCAAAATTACTAGTTATCTAATATAAATACTTATTTTAATGCTTTATATAAATTATATTATTGACTTCAAACAAATATCAAACTAAAATTATAACATTAAAAAAATTGCTTAGAGGAACTACATCCCTTGGTTCCGCCAGGTCTGACCTTCATGTCTAGGACCTGCCATACCACTTACATTGTAGCAAATCACCGTTTCCTCTGTATTCCAGTAGTTAGAAGTTCCACTGATCACTACAATCTTAACCTGTTCAAGTATAGAGTTAATCATTATCATCCCCTCTAATCCGTATAAACTGCCCCTTAATGTAACCCTCTACCTCATGTGGCCCATTGGACTTGTACAGAGTGAACCTTACTGTAAATAAAAAAAAAAAAAAATTAAAAATGCTTTGTTAAATTCAACTGACAAAGTCTGTTTAGTATTTTTACTGTATTTTTCTAATTCCCTGATAAATAACTTATCATCCAAATCAAAGTTGTGGATAAACTGTCCAAAGTTCATGTTTTTGTTCTGTTTTTAATGAAGTACTTTCAATTGTCTCAGTCATTATCAAGAACTGGGTGTTGTCTGTGTGGTAGACAAGATTTTCTTGACTACATTCTGGCATTTATTATTATAATGCTATATTTCAAATAAACGTGTGTATCTGTTCAACAGAACTTTATTTATTACAGGTTCTTTTTGTATAATAATAGCCTCAAGTATTTTGAGTCTTTCCTTGCAGTGAGTGCTATATAGTATTTGGGAATTATCTGCTAATATTTGTCCAATTTTAATTATTGTATTTCAGTTG